CCCCCCCCCCCCCCGTGCCCGCACCACCATCCCTACGCCCTCCAGCCAACGCGCCCCCTCCGCCCGAACCCTCTTATTTCGGCACGGCCCACCCCCCATCTCACGCGCCTCTTCCGCATCCCCCCGCCAGCCAGTGCGCCCCCTCCGCCCCGACCCATTCATTTCGGCACGGCGCCCTCCTCCCCCATCCCGCGCGCCCCCTCTGCATCCTCCCAAACGCCAGCCAGCGCGCTCCCTCCGCCCCGACTCTTTTATTCTCTTGCACAGTGTGTCTAAGAGATCCGGCGACTTTATTCTCTGGCACTGCTGTGCTCTAGAGCTCGGACATCTGTATTTTCGTTGTGGTTCGTGGTTCGTGGTGGTTCGTCCCCCTCGGCCCCTCCCCTGAGCCTGAGCGCCAGCTTCCCTGGGCCATCCACCCTTCGGAGGCTTGTTCCACCGTCAAGGGTTCCCAGGACAGCCCCCCTGGGCGGCGGACATCCTCATTTTCGTAGTGGTTCGTGGTTCGTGGTGGTTCGTGTCCCTCGGCCCCTCCCCTGAGCCTGAACCCCAGCTTCCCTGGGCCACCCACCCTTCGGAAGCTTGTTCCGTCCAGGGCTTCCCAGGACAGCCCCTTATTTTCGTCGTGGTTCGTGGTTCGCCGTGGTTCGTCCCTCTCGGCTCCCCCCTTGAGCCTTTCCCTGGGCCACCCCCCCTTGGGACCCCCCTTCCGTCCAGGCTTCCCAGGGCAGCCCCCCTGGGCCGCGGAACCCTTTATTTTCGTCATGGCTCGTGGTGGTTCGTCCCTCTCGTCCCCCCCCCCGCCTGAGCCTGAGCCCCAGCTCCCCTGAGCCACCCATCCTTGGGAGCCTTCCTCCGTCCAGGGCTTCCCAGGACAGCCCCCTGGGCCGCGGACATCCCTATTTTCGTCGTGGTTCGTGGTTCGTCGTGGCTCGTCCCCCCCGGCCCCTCCCCTGAGCCTGCCCCCCCTTGGGACCCCCCCTCCGCCCAGGCTTCCCAGGGCAGCCCCCCTGGGCCGCTGAACACTTTGTTTTCGTCGTGGCTCGTGGTGGTTCGTCCCCCTCGGACCCCCCCTGAGCCTGAGCTCCAGCTCCCCTGAGCCACCCACCCTTGGGAGCATTCCTCCGTCCAGGCTTTCCAGGGCAGCCCCTTCCGCAGCTCCGTTGTGCAAGAGCCAGGGCACGCGTGCCACTTGTTTCGGCACGGCGCCGGTCGATGCAGCCCTTCGGCGCCTCACAGCGCGCCCCCTCCGCATCCACTTTTTAAAGCAGCCATGCCGAAGCAGCCCCCCGGCCCTCCGCATCCTTCCCCCGCCAGCCAGCGCAACCAACCCGCCAGCCAGAGCGCCCCCTCGGTGCCGGTCCCACCAGCCAGCGCACCCCCTCCGCCCCGACAGCTTGATTTTGTGGCACGGCGCCGGCCCCACCAACCAACGCGCCCCCTCCGCCCCGACGGCTTTCTTTCGGCACGGCCCCTGGCCCTGGACCCAGCCCTCGCGGAGAACCCGTCGTCGTCCCCTGGTCCTGGCCGTCGACCCAGCCTTCACCCTAGTCCTCGACCCAGACCCCCTCGTCGGCGTCACCCTGGTCCTGTCCGTGGACCCAGCGTCCTCCCCTGGCCCTGGCCCCAGCCCCCCTCTCGCTGGACCCTTCATTTGCGCTCGTCGGCGTGCCCTTGGACTTGGCCCTGGGCCCAGCCCCCCCCTCGCGCCGGACCTTTTATTCTCGTTCGTCGTCGCCCCCCTGGTCCTGGTCCTGGCCCTGGCGCCAGCCTCCCTCCCTGATCTGGCCCCAGCCGCCCTCGCCCCACTGGTCCTGGCACTGGACCCAGCCTACTCCCCTGGTCGTTGCCCCAGCCCCCCTCGCCCCGCTGGCCCTGTGCCTGGACCCAGCCTCCCCACTTGGCCCAGCCTCGAAAATCTATCGCGCCTCAGCTGCCAACAAAAACTCATTCGAGCAGGCCCCAATCGACAACCGCTGATTCAGCACCGGGGCGCCCTGGCCCCACCTGCCCCTTCTCCTCCTCCTCCTCCTCCTCCTCCTCCTCCTCATTCTCCTCCTCCTCCTCCTCCTCCTCCTCCTCCTCCTCCTTGTTTCCTCGATTCCCCCCACCTGCGTCTCCCCCTCCTTCTCTCCTCATGTGCAAGAGCCAGAGCACGCGTGCCACTTGTTTTCGGTTATGATGGGCATTATAACGGGCCGGGGAGGGTATAATGTAACGCCTCCCCCCCGCTGTGTGCCCGATGCGCGCGGCGGCAGTGCCCGGAGCGCACTGGAGGGGAGGGGCGTTACGTTGTAGGGGAAGCGGGGGAGGGGGTCGGGGGCTATAGTGTCCATTTATACCCAAAACACTAAAGAAACACGCTCATACGCGTGTGACTGCTGGCTGCCCGAAACAAGCCCAAGACGCCACCGAGACCGGAACTGAACGGTCTAAGAGGCCTACAGTAGGGGGCCCGTACGACATCCGAAAGAGCCCCCAAAGCGGCCCAAGGGGCGCAGGGGGAAGGAGCTTAAAAAAGCCTTGGGATCCATCCCCCCCGAAGGTGGCCACCAAGACTCACAACTGGCCCCAAGAGGCCCCAGAAAGTATCCGAAAAGCTCACATGATACCCCCTCAAAGCTTCTTAGAGGTCCTGTTCCACCCCAAGGTTCCCCCTGAAGGCCCCGAGAAGGCCCCGAGACAGGCCACGCAGACCCCACAAATCCTTCAAAAGAACTGCCCTCAAGAACCGCCCTAGACGTACCGAGGCTCACGAACCCAAACTAGTCCAAGAAATCGGTCGGCGCGGCGTGGGGTGAACCAACGCATCCACGGCCGGACTGCGAGGCACGAGCAGGCCATGGGGACCCGTTTTTGGGCGGGGCCGCCCAGACCACATCTGTAAGACATTACCGCGCTTGGGGAAAGCATCCTACACCCTGCGAAATGCTTAAGAAATCATGGGTTAAGAAACTCAGAGTCTCAGAACTGGAGTAAAAACCCAGAACTTCTATTTAAATCTTGGGATTTGCATTGAAAAATTAAGAATAATCGAGACGCTGGCCGAAAGCTTAGGTTTTCTTAAGCATCGCCTAAGGTGTACTGCACGGGGGCGCAGTGCGTGGCGGTGCTTGGCGTATTGCCTGGCAAGCTGCCTGGCATCGAGCGGTGCTGCCTGGCACTGCGTGGCAGTCCCTGGCACTGCGTGGCGTTCCTTTTGCGTTGTGCTGCACCGCGCTGCCTCCCTCCTCCTCCTCCTCCTCCTCCTCCTCCTCCTCCCTCCTCCTCCTCCTCCTCCTCCTCCTCCTCCTCCTCCTCCTCCTCCTCCTCCTCCTCCTCCTCCTCCTCCTCCTCCTCCTCCTCCTCCTCCTCCTCCTCTCCCTGCGCGTGTTCCGCTACTTTGCATGGCGTGGCGAGGCATCAAGAAGCCAAGACCATGAAATCAGAACCAGGGAACCGAGGACCCGAGACCAAGGGAAGAGGGAACCAACACCGAGGAACCGAGGAAGCCCAAGAAACCAGGGATCCAGGACCAAGGAACCAATGAGCCAGGATCAAAGAGCCAAGACACTGAAGCACCAATCCCGAATAACCAGCTCCACAGGACCAGGGAACCAAAGCCGAGGATCCAAAGGGGCCTGGGCAACGCCTTGTACACCCCGCGAAACCCCCATTTGAAGAAGCAACGCCGAGGATCCCGGGGGACCCCCTGGACAAACCGAAGACCGCACCCGCTGGCTCTTCCCAGCCAAGAAAGACCCCGAAGGCAAAGGCAAAATGGGGAAACAGCATTGCCTTCCTAACCCCCCATTGCGAGCCGCAACACGTCTGCCGACCATCCTGTGGTCCAATCGCTTTATCCCCCCAAATGGCCGAATGTGGTCCCAACACAACTCAAGTCGGCACCAAGATGGCCTACGATGGCCCGAAAAGGCTCCGAAACCGCGAAGACGGCCCAAAACAAGTCCAAGACAGTGCCAATATGGCCCCAAGACGGCCCAACAGGCTACGAGAACGGTGCAAAGTGGGCCCCCGAGAGGATCCTCAAGGGCCCCCGAAGAAAGAACAGTATATCCGAGGGGGGTTCGGAACTGGTCACATTCGCAATGTCTGTCTTTCGGGCGGCCACGACAGCCCAAGAGGCAGTTAGAATTAAGTCGGGCGTGTCCCCCTACAGGGGGATTTTGGGCGACAAGTAATTACCCTGGCGACGTACCCAACCCCTGCGCAAAAGCGGGGCGCAAATAGTTTAGGATACTTTATAAGGGGGCGATGACGGAGCGAGGGTTACATATGTCTGCAGACGGAATTCGGGAGACTCGCAGGACACTGGCTACAGGAAAAGGGCTTGATAAAGCTGATGATTTACAATTCCTGAGCACTCCTAGCCACTTCGAAAACGGGGATCACAGCAGGCCTCGAAAGTGGCGACAGGTTCACAGATCGCAGCCCCGCAGGGACGGCGAGGTCTCATTTGAATCTGCCCGTGGCCCTCACTGTGCTGGGCCCCCCAGCAGGCCTCGAAAATGGCGGCAGTTTCGCAGATCGCAGCCCCCCAGGGATGGCGAGGTCTAATTTGAATCCGCGCGTGGCCCTCACTGTGCTGGGCCCCCCAGCAGGCCTCGAAAGTGGCGACAGTTTCACAGATCGCAGCCCCCCAGGGAGGGCGAGGTCTAATTTGGATCTGCCGCGATTACCCTCTATGCTGGACCCCCCAGCAGGCCTCGAAAGTGGCGACAGTTTCACAGATCGCAGCCCCCCCCCCCAGGGATGGCGAGGTCTAATTTGAATCTGCCGCGATTACCCTCTATGCTGAGCCCCCCAGCAGGCCTCGAAAGTGGCGACAGTTTCACAGATCGCAGCCCCCCAGGAATGGCGAGGTCTAATTTGGATCTGCCGCGATTACCCTCTATGCTGGACCCCCCAGCAGGCCTCGAAACTGGCGACAGTTTCACAGCCCCCCGCAGGCAAGACAGAAAGAGGCAGGAAAGAGGCGGGAGGCGGGAGGAGGAAGGACGCGACCACACTGCTCTATTCAAAACGAATACCCAACCAAGGAGGGTTGGGAACAAAAATTACCCTGGCGACGTACCCAACCCCTGCGCAAAAGCGGGGCGCAAATAGTTTAGGATACTTTATAAGGGGGCGATGACGGAGCGAGGGTTACATATGTCTGCAGACGGAATTCGGGAGACTCGCAGGACACTGGCTACAGGAAAAGGGCTTGATAAAGCTGATGATTTACAATTCCTGAGCACTCCTAGCCACTTCGAAAACGGGGATCACAGCAGGCCTCGAAAGTGGCGACAGGTTCACAGATCGCAGCCCCGCAGGGACGGCGAGGTCTCATTTGAATCTGCCCGTGGCCCTCACTGTGCTGGGCCCCCCAGCAGGCCTCGAAAATGGCGGCAGTTTCGCAGATCGCAGCCCCCCAGGGATGGCGAGGTCTAATTTGAATCCGCGCGTGGCCCTCACTGTGCTGGGCCCCCCAGCAGGCCTCGAAAGTGGCGACAGTTTCACAGATCGCAGCCCCCCAGGGAGGGCGAGGTCTAATTTGGATCTGCCGCGATTACCCTCTATGCTGGACCCCCCAGCAGGCCTCGAAAGTGGCGACAGTTTCACAGATCGCAGCCCCCCCCCCCAGGGATGGCGAGGTCTAATTTGAATCTGCCGCGATTACCCTCTATGCTGAGCCCCCCAGCAGGCCTCGAAAGTGGCGACAGTTTCACAGATCGCAGCCCCCCAGGAATGGCGAGGTCTAATTTGGATCTGCCGCGATTACCCTCTATGCTGGACCCCCCAGCAGGCCTCGAAACTGGCGACAGTTTCACAGCCCCCCGCAGGCAAGACAGAAAGAGGCAGGAAAGAGGCGGGAGGCGGGAGGAGAAGGACGCGACCACACTGCTCTATTCAAAACGAATACCCAACCAAGGAGGGTTGGGAAAAAGCAAAAACAATGCCCCAACATGGTCAACAAATACTTTAAAGATAATCCCCAGGCTATGCTTGGACTGTGTTCTGATGATGTTCGGGGTACTTTTAATTGTTCGTCGAAAGTCCCCCTGTAACCCCAGGAAGCATTTAAGAACCCCCCCTGCGATATCGTAGCACCGCATTTTTTATTCGATATTCCGAGGGGCCGAAATAACCGAACGATAGCTGTAGCACCCGGACACAAAGGAGGGCTCTTGGTGCCAGGTAACGCTTCCAGGGTGCGGAAGGGTTATCGATTTGCCGGAGGGGGGGGGGGTTCTTAAATGCTTCCTGGGGGTAGGGGGACACGCCCGACAGAAAGTTGGAATCGCCGCAGTGCTGCCCACGATCCCCTCGAGGCGGCCCCGAGGCAGGGCGCGGCGGGGGGCCCGGGGCGCCCCGCGAGGGCTCCCGAACGGGCTTCGGACGAGCCCAAAGGCCCCCCAAGGCGGCCCCAGAGACGGCCCAGATGGCAACAACACTACACCCTGCGAAATGCTTAAGAAATCATAGGTTAAGAAATTCATAGTCTCAGAAATTGAATAAAACCCAGAAGTTCTATCAAAATCTTGGGATTTACATTGAAACGTTAAGAATAATCGAGACTCTGGCGGAAAACTTAGGTTTTCTTAAGCATCGCATAAGGTGTACGGCAGGTTCGTGTCGTGCCGACTTCGGCGTTGGTTTTTGACACCGCAGGGATCGTTCAACCCTGAACGGTCGGCCGTCTCCGCAACGTCCGATCGTTCCACACCGACCGATTCTGGGTCGCCGGCGGCGTTCAACCTTGAACGCCCGCGCTGGGGTCGCCGCTGGTCGACACGACGCAAACCTACGGGACGGGAAAATGACCACAGCCACTGCTTCTTGTTTGCGCCGCCTTCCAGCCAGCCGCAAAAGAAGCAGTGGTTGTGGTCATGTTCCTGGTGCCAAGCCCAACGAAAATGACCACAACCACTGCGTTGTTTTTTTGCTGGCTGGAAGGCGGCAACAAAAGAAAAGCAGTGGCTGTGGTGTTTCAAAGCTTACCAGCCCAGAACATATCCCTATCCCTATGGTGGGCATCGCCTCATCACGATGGCGATCTCAGGGGTTCCCTCAGTTTCTGAGGGCGCATCCCTAAGATTGTCATCCCCTTTTGGCGTGTCAATCTCAGGGACAGGGATAAGTTCGAGGCTGGTGAAAAGCAAGACCAACGGAGGTCGCGAGGCCCCCAACACGGCCCCCCAAAGACCCCCAGCACAGCCGCAGGCCAGCCTGAATCAGGAGGAGGAGGAGGAAGAGGAGGAGGAGGCCTGCTTCCTCTTGAGCCCCTGTTGGGTGGGGGAGGGGGAGGAGGAGGAGGAGGAGGAGGAGGATGAGGAGGAGGAGGAGGAGGAGGAGGAGGAGGAAGAGGAGGAGGAGGAGGGAGGAGGAGGAGGGAGGAGGAGGAGGCAGGAGGAGGAGGAGGAGGAAGAGGAGGAGGAGGAGGAGGAGGAAACGAAAGAGGCAGCACCAAGGAGGACGAGGAAGAGGACGAGACCCCCAGGACGGCCCAGGAGCGGACTGCCGCCAACGTGCGGCCTCACGAGGACCCACTGAGAGAGAGCCCTCAACAGCAGGCAAACTTGGCCACGCAGCGTTGAAGGGAAACTGGAACACACCAATAAATACACCCTGCGAAATGCTTAAGAAATCATGGGTTAAGAAATTCATAGTCTCAGAACTTGAGTAGAAGCCCAGAATTTCCATCGAAATCTTGGGATTTACACTGAAACGTTAAGAATAATCGAGACTCTGGCCGAAAACTTGGGTTTTCTTACGCATCGCCTGGAGTGTACACACAAATAAAAAAATCGCCCACATTTTCCCATATCTTCTGGGTTTCTGCCTTCCCCCCACTTCCCATATTTTCCCATATTTTCAGAGAAACCGACGGTTAATTGCGTCTGTGTGTGTTTTGTCCCCTCCTGAACCGTGAGGGACGCGTGGGCTGGTCGGCATAGGCACGCGTGGCTTCTGCCGTGACTGTCGCTGCGACGAACTCCTCGCCAGCAGTCCACGGGATGCAATCGGCGCCACCATCGCTTGCACCGAGCAGCCCAGGAAGGAGGAGGAGGAGGAGCGGCCCACGACGAGCCCTGGACTGTCAAATCTCCCCAACTCCAAACTGATGAATTCAGCGTTTTTTGCTCCAGCGGCCTCTCGAGGCCAGGGGGCCGATGGGACTGCCAGGACATGGGCACCCCGAATGTACCGCGCGCGGATGCAGAAGGGAAGCTCGGAATGGATCCGCCATTCTTTTCCAGGCCGGTCCGTGCAAAGCATGCGGCACGCAGCCCGATCCGCTCCCTGCTCGGATACCGTCTTGCCCGCAGCGGCCTGGACACTGCCAAGTAAAAGGGCTGGGGCAAACTGAACAATGTTCGGGTCGGGCGAAAGGGGGGGATAGCAAAGGGGGGGTTTGAGAATCAGCTCTTGGAGCTGATTTTCCCGGCGCCTCCCGGCGCCGGAGGCGGCTATGTATCGAGGAATGGGCCCCTCAGTGGGGCCGAAACCAGCTGCATGCAGCAAATTTCGTAACCCCCCCTTTCCCAATCCCCCCCTTTCGCCCGACGCGAAATGTGAGCGTGATCTTATTCGTTGTTTCGACATTTGGCGGAAAGGGGGGGGCAGGGGGGTCTGGCTCCAGGCCTCTGCCCAGTGCGGCTGTCTGCAACAGTGCTGCCCTGGGGGAGGGGATCCACCCGCTCGAAACAAGCGCAACCATCAGCCAAGATCTACTCCGGGGGGGGGGGCCTGCGCCGAGCGGCAAAACAAGGAATAAGAAAACGATCACAATCGACGATGACGAGAACGACTGTCTCAATAGAACGAGCCCTGAGGCTGTTTCCGGTTGCCTGTGGCCGAACAACAGGCCGGGAAAAGCCCCAGACGGCAAACCCCCGCATTCTGAAGAAAGACTTCAGGCGGTAACCAGTAAGAACCGCTCCCTGCTCATACCCGCTTCCAGCTGCAACGACCCCGGCCAGCTCCGCCCCCAGGGGCTGGGGCACGCTGAACAGTCGAAAACGGCGAGGAAGGATGCCTCAACAGAAACCGCCTTGGGGTCGTCTTGGGTCGTCGGGAAGGGGAGGAAGAGAAAATGAAACAAGGGGAAACGGAGGATTTTTGGGAGGGGCGAGGAAAAAGATGATGGATGAGCATGGGGAAGCTGATAATAAACAGATGGATCCAAGACTTACACAACACCTGGAGATAGAGGAACATGAACGGTACACATAAGAGGACGAAGCGGAATAATAAGCGGGTACACAAGAAGCGGGAGACGGACGACGAGGGGAGGGGGAGCAATAGGTGGTGGAAGAACAGGACGAGATAGGGGGACGAAGGCTAGAAAGAACAGGAAGGAACACGGATAGGACGAGAAAGAGTAGGCGGAGGCAGACAATCTATCAATGCAGAGGTAGGGGTAGAGGACGAGAACGAAGACGATGAGGAAGTTTAGTCATGATACAGCGACAGAGGAAGAGTAGAACGAGGGGAGGGGAGGGGGCGAGGGAAGGAGGAGGAGGACGGAAGAGAAAAGAAGCGGACGGAACGACTGCCAGGCCGTGCCCCCCGCGAAGCGGTGTATCTCCACTGGACATCGGCACAAACCAACACGCACCAAGCGCAAACGTGAGAAGCTCAAGCCAGACGGCGGCGCGGATTCAGCGCGTCCCGGCCTTTCCGCTCTTCGGCTTATGTAAGAGCTCCGCTGGATCAATGGTGGCCCTGTGGGTACACTTGGAAGTGATGTCGCTGCAGCCCTCCAGCCCCAGCAGCCACTCCGAATACTTCGTCCGACTCGCACGGCGGTTCATGTCCATGTAAGCGGCACGGCCCTGCTGTTTGTACTCCTTCGCGCGGACGAAAAACTGTTCGATGACCACCTCGGACAGAGATCTAATCCACTACTCGACTCTTAGTAGGAAGGCGAATAAAGTAGAGTGAGAACTGGGAGTCCAAAAATACCTACTTTCAACTACCGATGGGTACCATCGCAGGGAGGGCTGGACCTGAGCGTTGTTTTTCGTGTTGCTTTCGTTTTATTTCTCGTTTTGCTCAGGCTGTTTTTCCTGTACCGCCCTGCCAAAACGAAACACAAAACAAGCCGACGTCCAGCAAACCAGCGTTTAGGTCCAGCCCTACTTTCAACGACCGTTGGGTGCTCATTCTGGGGACCTTCATGGAGACGCTCGATCCGCTCGTGCGTCGAACCTGCGTCGAACAGCTGTCGATTCGAGTCGACCCTGAGTCGACCCTGAGTCGAACCTGAGTCGAACCTGAGTCTAACTTGAGCCGAGCTTGAATCGAACTTGAGCCGAACATATCCGTTAGGTGGGCCCCAGGAGGGTCCCCAAAACGAGCATCTAACTCGGGAGCGGCCAAGAGGGGGGTGTCCAAGAGGGGGGGTGCAAATCATGACCGGCGGCATGTGCGCGGCCCAGCGGGGGGGCCAGGGACGTAATGAAACAAGAAGAGGCGCCGCGAAATCTGGGGAAAAATCATGGCCCGCGCCATGAAATCCCCCCCCCCCCTAGTCATCACCCCCCTCTTTTCCGCCCCCGAATCTAACGACCGATGGGCATCATCGGTGGGGCCCTGCCGGGGAAGCCCTGCGGCGCCGGCGGCTTGTGCCGAGGGGCGCGCGCGGGGGCAAAAGGGGCGCCCCGAGGGCCCCCCCGGCGGGGGCGAGGCCCGCCGCCCTTGGCGGCCCGGGCTCTCTGGGCTGCTCTGGGGTCCAGTCTTGGGGTAGGAGGGGGAGGAGGAGGAGGGAGGAGGGAGGAGGGAGGAGGGAAGAGGGAGGAGGGAGGAGCCTCCTACGGGGGAATGTGGACGACACATCGAACTCGAAACAGATTCATAGATGATCAAAAAAGACACTCAGAATCGTCCACCCATATACGATTGCTTTACTATGTTTTTGAATACTCCTCCAGTCGAGGGACAGGCCCGACTGCGGTCTTGCGAGCAGGGTCCGCCAGCGGTGGGCTCCCTCTCGTCCCGCTCCTGCGGGGCTCAAACATCTACACCACCACCGCCGCCCTCACCCCCTCTCTCTCCCAGGAGAGAAGAAAAGAAGAAGAGGGCAAAGGTTATTGCGGGCCTGTCCCCCTACAGGGGGATTTCCGACGGAAAGTAGAAATCCACCAAACATACACCAGAAAGGTAACAAACATACGAAACAAATAGTCCCCAGACTATTTTTGGACTATGTTTTGACTATTTTGGACTTTTTTGGTTTGTCGAAGGTCTCCCTGCATCGGGAGCGGCAAAGAGGGGGGTGTCGAAGAGGGGGGTGTGCAAATCATGACCAGCGGCATGTGCGCGGCCCAGCGGGCGGGCCAGGGACGTAATGAAACAAGAAGAGGCGCCATGAGATCTGGGGAAATATCATGGCCCACGCCATGATATCCACCCCCCCCTAGTCATCACCCCCCTCTTTTCCGCCCCCGACTGTAGGGGGACAGGCCCGACAGAGGGTAAGGGGCCCAGACCCCCAACGTCGTGATTTTGTCCACCAGGTCGACCCACGGAGGTCTGGACCCCTTTTAAAGAACATCCCGCGGGAGCCACAGAAAGTTCCTAGAGCACTGCTTGGTGGGGGCTCTAGGCGAGCCGGGACGCTTCGCCACTGCTTGGTAGAGGACCCAGACCCTCCAACGTCGTGATTTTGTTCACCAAGTCGACCCACGGAGGCCTGGACCCCTTTTAAGCACATCCCGCGGAAGCCACAAAAAGTTCCTAGAGCACTGCTTGGTGGGGGCTACAGGCGAGCCGGGACGCTTCGCCACTGCTTGGTAGAGGACCCAAGCCCCCAACCTTGTCTCCCTCTCCGTCCTTGTTCTATGTTCTCGTTGTTGTTCGTTCTTCTCTCTTGTTCGTCTTCGCTTTGTTCTGTCTGTTCTTCGCTTCTTGCTTGGCTCGTTGCCTGCTGCTGCCGTCTCTCGTCGTTCTTCTGCCTCCTGCCCCTCCTCTTTCCGCTTCCTCTGGCCGCCTGCGTGGAGCGCAGGGCGCGCGCACTGTTTGGGCGCCCGAGTTATCCGGGGTAACTCGGGTCCGGGGTGACTCGGGTTTGGATTCCCGAAAAAGGAACCCGAGTTATCCCTGACCCGAGTTACCCCTGATGATTCGGGGCTCTGAACTGTCGTGATTTTGTTCACCAGGGCGACCCACGGAGGTCTGGACCCCTCTTCCCCGGGACCGGCTTCTCAGCCCGCGCCGTTTCCTGACGGCCCCCATCGGGCCCGGGAAGGGCCCCCCCGCCGTGATGTTTGTCCCCCGACGCGGCGGGGTCCGAGGAGGGAGGATACGCAGAAGGCATCTGTACACCACCACTCAAGGGGCCCCAGGACACACAAATAAATACACACAAATAAAACTATTCTCCATATTTTCCCATATTTTCTGGGTTTTTGTCTTCCCGCCCAATTCCCATATTTTCCCATATTTTCTTGGGGATCGACGATTAATTGTGTCTGTGTGTTTTTTTCCCTCCTGAACCACCGTGCCAAGCCAGGCCCATCCTGGCCCTGGGATGGTGTGTACGCCCTCCTGGCCGAAGCCAGGAGGGTCTATACACCATCCTATAGGGCCCAGGATGGCCCTGGCCTGGCGCGGTGGTGGTGTATAGATGCCTTCGTCGGAGAGGAAGAATCGACGTGGTGGTGGTGTATACACTTGGGGACCGCAGTTCTGGCTCGGTGGCGGTGGTGCATACTCTCGGGGCCCGCAGTTCTGGCTCGGGGAGATGGGGGACCACAGGCGAACCCTGCCCCGAACCCCACGATTTCCAAGGCGAGAGTGGGGCTCCCTTCGACCCAGAAATCGTGGGGGTAGGGGCAGGTTCCGCACGTGGCCCCCTAGGAGAGGCATCGTCGTGGTGGTGGTGGTGTCTACTCGCGGTGGTGCATACTCCAGATTTCGTAATAAAAGGGAGGGGGTCTGGACCCTCCCAGACAAGCCATTTCAGACCCCCCCCGTGGGAGAACCCTCCAAAACATCGTCCCCAGACCCCCCCAGGCCCTCCAAGATAGCCTGGAAGAGACCCCCCCCCGAAATGAGACCCCCTCTCTTTTATTACGAAATCTGGAGTACTTCTGGGGCGCATCGCCGCGGCGCTGCGCTGGGCCCCGGGGAGGCGCCCGGCACACCGGGCCGCGCAGGCGCGCCACGGCTCGGGAAAGGCGTCGCCTGTGGCGGCCTTTTTTGCTGCAGCAGGGGCCCGACCACAGAGATGCCGCTGCCGCTGCTCCCTGGACCTGCTCCTCCTCCTCCTCCTCCTCCTCCTCCTCCTCCTCCTCCTCCTCCCTCCTCCTCCTCCTCCGAGGCTCCCCCTCCTCCTCCTCCTCCTCCTCCTCCTCCTCGTCGTCCTCCTCCTCCTCCTCCTCCTCCTCCCTCCTACTCCTCCGAGGCTCGGGCGTGCGGCATCCTGGACCTGCTCTCAGGATGGAGATCAGAGTCCCCAAACGCTTCCCACTTGGGACCTCAATTGGGACGCTCTACTGCACGGTCTAGCAGGGTCGACGACCTGGTCGATGTTGCCACAGCATCTGCAGGGGAGCTGGGTGTTGAGGAGGCGAAGAGCTGGAAATAGAAGTGATGAATGAGGAGGTGGAGGAGGTCGGTGAAGCGGGGCGGTTGGTGGGCTGCTCGGGAGCCGTCGTTTCTCTCTCTCTCTCTCTTTGCGGATGCGGACCTGCTTCTCGACTGGACCGCTGTGTGGAAGGATGTGTTCTGACCAAGATTCCGAGGCGAATCCAGCCGTGGCGACGAAGGATAGGTAGGAGCCAATTTCTTCCTTATTCGCGATAATGCCAAGGACCGGCCAAGCCCCCCCCCCCCGTGCCCCCCCAAGGCACGCACGTTACAGTGGGGGCCCGACCACAAGAAACCTATCCACAAGAAGCCCAACCCTGAGACCCCAGGACGTCCATCGACTCTGGGAACGGCACGCTCTCGATCGCAGAACCATCGAAACCCAGGAAACCCAGGGCACCCTGGAGGCGAGCAGGGTGTTTCTTGGCATGGGCCCCCACTCCCCCCGCCGCTGCAGGCAGCTCTGAATGGCCCGGGTTTTTCTCCCCCTGTCGCGCTTGGGCTCCTCCTCCTCCTCCTCCTCCTCCTCCTCCTCCTCCTCCATCCGTGCATTGCGGCCTCAATTTGCATACAGCGTGTCCCCTGTTGCCAATCCGCCGGAGCAGTCGCCCTCTGCCCAGCCGCCGACGCAAAAGTTTGTGTTCTTCTGCTGCTCGTTGCACGCATCGCGTGGCAAAAGCTCAGCGCCCCTCAAACGGGGACTCCCACTAACGGGTACTTTGGCCAGTGACCCAGCGAGCCCAACCCTTCCCGATGTGGGCAAAGCTGCAATGCAAGAAAAAGGCCCTAAAGTGGCAACTTTCGGCAAAAATTCAAAGTACCCGTTAGTAAGTACCCGTTACGGTGCCGTTGAAAAGCAGGATCCAAACGGCACCCGGGACGGACTTCAGTTTTTGAGCCGCCCAGGCTGCCTTCTGCAGACCTCAAGGGGCCCAGGAGCGCACAAATAAATCGACACAAATCCCAGGATTCCCCATATCTTCGCATATGTTCGGGGTGTTCGTCTTCCCCCCCACGTCCCATATTTTCCCATATTTTCTGGGGAATCGCCGATGAATTGTGTCTGTGTGTCTTTTCCCCTCCTGAAGACCGTCGCCTTCGGCTGGTTTATCAGACCCAGCGCAGCCCCCCGCGCTTCTCAAACCCAGGCCAGGCCCCCACTCATATCAACATGTGCGGGGGACTAAGGTAAAAAGGGGGCAATCGGGAGCCTGAGGGCACCATGGGGGAGAGTACCAGTACGAGACAATGCGATCCGATGATTTCTGTCCCCGTCCGGCCTGGTTCCACAAGTACATGAACTCCTCGGTGAGGTACTCTTCTGCGAATACTCTCTGCGCCCGGATGAGGGACGATGTGTCCTGCAGATGTGTGACATCATAGATCTGCTGCATCATGTCGCTCAAGTCTGGCTTTATGGGCCAATTCGCCGGCCCACTCGGCGCCAACAGGCTGCTTGGCGTAGGCTCCCCTGCTCTTCGCAACTGTTCCAGCCCCGACTTAATTTCTTCTAGTTCCTCTGTTGTGATGATTGACGTCCCGCCTCCTCCGCCTCCGCCTCCGCCTCCTCCGCCTCCCTCGCCTCCTCCGCCTCCTCCGCCTCCTCCTCCTCCTCCTCCTCCTCCTCCTCCTCCTCCTCCTCCTCTAGTTCCTCTGTTCCTCTGTTGCGAGGGAGCCCGAACAGGAACCGCTCACGAAGCCACAACCCCTCGTAGATCCCATCGGCCCTCTGGGCTGAGTGGTCTAACGGAATTCCCTGCCACAGCCCAATCCTCCCCCTGCTCGGGGAAAAGGGTTCTCGGGTCGGGCGAAAGGGGGGGATAGCAAAGGGGGGGTTTGAGAATCAGCTCACGTAGCTGATTTTCCCGGCGCCTCCCGGCGCCGGGAGGCGCCCATGTATCGAGGAATGGGCCCCTCGGTGGGGCCGAAACCAGCTGCATGCAGCAGATTTCGTACCCCCCCCTTTCCCAATCCCCCCCTTTCGTCCGGCCCGAGGTTCATCAATGCTCCCTATCAATCTACCCCCCCTCTCCCACCCGGCCGGCGGCCAACCCGGAACCATGACGACCCCATCAGGGCTAACCCCTCCGCCGTCCCTGCCAAACTGCCTCCACATCTGGAGCATAGGGCGACGATATCTATACATATCCACTGCTCCTGGCCAGGCCAATCCTGGGCCCAAGAGCTGTGTATACGCCCTCCTGGCTTGGCCAGGGAGGCATATACACCGCTCCTGGGCCCAGGATGGGCCTGGCCAGGAGCAGTGGATATGTATAGATATCGTCGCCCTAGAGCATGCGCGGCCGCCCCGCGACCATTACTGGCATTTCACGGGGACGGCTGCGGTGCCAGCAGATCCCACCTGCCTTCTGGGCGCAGGTGGTCGACCGCCTGGTTTGACACATCAATGTCAGGGGGGCGTAAGACCCGGGTACAGGGGACTCGGAAATCCCCGACGAGGTCGTCAAAAAAATGACGAGGCCGAGCCTGCATTTTGACGAGGCCTCCCGCTGCAGACATCCCACGAAACTCCTACTCGTCAAAACCGAGTCGCGGTCGTCAAAAAACGATGGCGAACCCGAGTCCTGGCAAACCCGGGTCTTACGCTCCCCCGACAATGGCTGCTGCCTTGTCGCCTTACCGTTTCCGATGGGATCTCGAAACCTCCACATGGTTCCAAAATTGGCCAAGAAAGCTCAAAGCCGGGCCCAAGAGCCCCTATTGGTTCCCAGTGGCTAGCGCACCTGGCGCGGCTGGCACGCTTGTGTCTCCAGGGTCTGTTGCATCTGGAGCCCGTGGGGTCTGCGGCGTTTTTACGCGATCTGCTGGCTTCTGGGTGTTACGTATGTGTTGGGAGGGCGGGAGGAGTGAGCAAGACGGCTTGCGGGCGGGTGGGAAGCTTGACCCCTCCCCCTACCCCCTCCCCTGGGCCTGAGGGGGGGGGGGCCAAGATGCCCCAAGGTGGCTCCAAGAGGGCCCAAGTCAGGCCAAGACGACCTTGACGATGGTTCCAGATACTTCCACATCGCTCAAGATAGCCTCCAACATGCCTCCAAGACAGCCCAAGACAGCCCCCAGCCCCAAGACGGTGCTGAGTGCCTTTCGAGCCTCCCAAAGCACACCCCTGCCAGGAGACCACAATCATTCAAATCACAAGACAGCTCGCTGCTTGGGCCCCACCGCCAGCCCAAACGGCGAGCATAAATCGGGCGTAGCCCCGCACACATTCGAATGCCCACACTTCGTCCTCGTACTACTCGTACTCCTCGCCGTCCTCCTCCCCATCCTGATCGTCGTCCTCCTCCTCGTCCTCCTCCTCATCCTCCTCGTCTTCATCATCTTCCTCCTGCTCGTCGTCCTCGTCGTCCTCGTCTAGGACCTCGTCCTCGTTTGTCCTCTTCCTCTTCCTGCTCATCCTCCTTCTCCCGGCACCTCGGTCCGCGACGCCCTCGCTGGCCCGACTGCGGTTCAAGAGAGCGGCTCAACGCCATTGGTTGCGCCATAAAATGCGACCTCGGCGGCCGAGAATGAAACAGTCTCCTATCGGTTGCGCCATAGGTTGCGCCCTCGGCGGCCGAGAATAAAATCGTCTCCCATCGGTTGTGCCATAGGTTGCGCCCTCGGCGGCCGATAATAAAGGCGTCTCCTATCGGTCGCACCATACGTTGCGCCCTCGGTGGCCGAGAATAACATCTGTTCAGTTCAGTTCAGTTCAACTCGCGAGAAACAAATTCGGGCCACGCCCGAGAAAAGCTGCGGGCATCCATATGTTGTGGCTTCTCGCTGTCGCTTCCGATGAGCATCGTGGGCCTCAAGAAGGCCCCAAAATGGCCAAAGAGAGGCCGGCCCAAGAGAGACCCAAGAATGCCTCGAGACGGCCCAAACAGTGCCCAAGAGACACCCAAGAGCGGCCCAAGAGGCCCCATGAGCCCATCTTTGAGCCTCCATTGGGGGGGGGCTCAATTGGGCCCCCCCCTTCTTTGATCGATCTCCTTCAAAGATAGCCCCAAGAGTGCCCAAAGAATCGCCCAGCACCACCAGTGAGGCGCCCAGCATCACCAGGGAGGCCCCCAATAAGCCCCCAAGAGGCCCCCACGAGAGACCAAAGAGGCTCAAGAGGATCCTCCTAAGCATTAAAGACGCTCCAAAGGGCCCCAAGTAGCATCAAGACTTTTTCTTCTCCTCCTCCTCATTTCTTAACCAGGGCAATCTGATCTTATGTGTTGTCTAAACCAGTTCGCCGAAGCATTGGCAACGAGTGACACATCCAGAACCGCATGCATGCAACCTCCTCCTCCTCCCCCTCCCCCTCCCCCCCCCCCTCCTCCTCCTCCCCCTCCTCCTCCTCCGCTTCCTCCTCCTTCTCCTCCTCCGTTTCCTTTCTCATTCGGGGCCATCTGGTCTGATGTGTCTGCAAACCCGTCCGTACAAAAAAAAAACAGTATTTGCACATGGAGGTGCAGGAACCACTCCCCGATGACATCACTGTGTTGCAGGCCAACGTGTGTCGAAGAGGACCCCGTGAAGACCGCCATAGAGCCCAAACGACGCCAGGCCGACCTGCTCCACCGAGCTTTTTGACGACTCATACAACACATGTTCCCGCCACCCCCGCACCTCCGAAAGGCATCCAGGGCGGCTGTCGCACTGCATGCTTCCGTTTTGCCCTCGTCAAAGGCAACTCACCTGGCCATCGTGTCTGGATGGGCTGGTGGGGATACTCTTTTTTGTTGTCGCGGTCGCAGGCGAGAGCGCCGACGGCGAGTAGGGTTCGAGCGGGCCGCGCACGAGCCTACTTGTCTACCGCCGACGAGCCGGCGGCCTAAGCAGCACATAAGCGGGCCGGTCAGCGCGAGGGGGGTGCGGGCTTTAGCTTCCAGCTGCCAGGAACCAGGCCCAGGAGCGCGCGCGCTGGTGGGGATATGCGAAGCGTCAAGAAGTCATCACCTTCGCGCTCACAAGGCCGCAATACCTAGTAAATTACCTCGCGCTCCCGACGACACGATTGCTTGGAAATTGCACCAGACTTGCAACCCCAAGGCCAATCCTAGAAGAAGAAACAACGGCATAAACATAAACTGTTGGTGCTCCGCGCGGATCTCTTGGATCTGCGCTGGACCCCCCTCCCTGGCGCGTGGAGCGCGCCAGGGGCGGCGCCGGAGCGCGAAGCGCCATCAATTTGTGTTCATGCCGTTCTTTCTGTTTCGAAGTCCACCGCAAACGACCCAAGGTCCGCGATCCCCAAAGCATAGCACCTCCCGAGAAAAAGTTGCCACAGACTCGCGCCAACCGAGGCCACATCTCTGAGAAAACCCACGCCGGGCGCGCTCTCCCGAGGCCACAAAACGCCTTGCACACGACGCCAGGCTCAAGCTCCCCAGGCCACAGTCCTTCGCAGAATTACAAGAGAGGCCCGACCACGAGAGACCGTCCACGAGGAACCCAACACTGAGGCCCCAGGGCGTCCACTGATTTTTGGCGTGGGCACGTCACGCTTTCCATTGCAAAACCATCGAAACCAAAGAGACCCAAGGCACCCTGGAGGCGAGCAGGGCGCTTCTGGGCATGGGCCCCCTGTAGAGGCCACACCACAAGAGACCTTCCACAAGGAACCCAACTCTGAGGCCCCAGGGCGTCCACTAATTTTTGGCGTGGGGACGTCACGCTTTCCATTGCAAAACCATCGAAACCCAAGAAACCCAAGGCACCCTGGAGGCGAGCAGGGCGCTTCTGGGCAAGGCCCCCCTGTAGAGGCCACACCAAAAGAGACCTTCCACAAGGAACCCAACTCTGAGGCCCCAGGGCGTCCACTGAGTTTTGGCGTGGGGACGTCACGCTTTCCATTGCAAAACCATCGATACCCAAGAAACCCAGGGCACCCTGGAGGCGAGCAGGGCGCTTCTAGGCATGGGCCTCCACTGTGGAGGCCCGACCTCAAGAGACCTTCCACAAGAAATCCAACTCTGAGGCCCCAGGGCGTTCACTGATTTTTGGCGTGGGGACGTCACGCTGTCCCTTGCAAAACCATCGGAACCCAAGAAACCCAGGGCACCCTGGAGGCGAGCAGGGCGCTTCTAGGCATGGGCCCCCCCAGAGGAGTCCCGAAGCCTGTGGCTACAAGTTTCGGTTGTTCTGGTGTGCGCGAGCCAATCGGCCCCTGGAACTCCCAAGCCAACAAAATACCCTTTGGACGCCCGAAATGGGTACCGAACAAATGGGTACAATGCCCAACAGCAAATGTTGTCCCAAACCAACAGCGGCCGCTGTTGGGCAGGCGGCCCTCTGTCTCAAATGGGCACAGGCCGCGGCGGCGTGGACAGCTAATCCTGTTCAAAATGAACAGGAACTGCAGTTGGGCATAGTACCCATTCTTTCAGTACCAATTTCGGGCGTCCAGATACCCTGGGCAGTCCACGGGCGGTCAGTGTCACGGATGCCAGAATTCCCGGGGGCGGTCTTCAGGGCCCCCAGGAGCGCCCCAGGAGCGCCCCGAGGGACCCCAAGGGAGCTCCAGGAGGCCGTTCGAGTCGGGATCCATGGGCAGCAGGTTCCACGATGGCATCAGTACACTCCCAAAAGGCTTCAAGATAGCCTGGAAACTCACACATAAAGCTCCAAGTGGCCCCAAGAGTTGAAACATGATTCGTTATGCTTAGATGTTTGAGCGATTGTGGCGTTGCCGGCTCTTCAGTCCCCCGACCGCCCACGACAGCCCATTCGGCCTCCACGATTGCCAGAATTCAGGCCAAGAGGCCCCCAGGATGGTCATGAGACGCCCCAAGTGGGCCCCAAGACAATCCCAGTCCCCCAAGAAGCCTCCCCCCCCTCCCCCAGAAGGGCCGAAGGGGAGAATCCGAACTGAAATTTCGATCCCTCTCAACAGATGGCCCTCCAGACCGCCAGAAGACCCGAAGAGGGCCCCACGATACATCCAAGAGGCCCCCCAAAGGCTGCCCAAGACACCCCCAAGAGACCCCGAGGGACGCCTAAGAGGCCCCCCAGGCGGCCTCACGAGTGCCCCTGCGAACACAGGCAAGTGCTGGCCAAATTGCAACAAATTCGCGCCGCTGGAGCCACAATCTATTGTAATTACAGTGCTACGCGTTGGCGCTCCCGCACCACCCCTCTCCAGAGCGGAACGGTTGGCATGTTTAGGGGAACGAAAAATGGCATAAACATAAAAACTCGGAGGTCCGCGCGGATTTCTCGGATCGGCGCTGAACCCCCCTCCCTGTCGCGCGGAGCGCGCCAGGGGCGGCGCCGGAGGCGCCGCCGGGGGGGGCCCCAGCGTGCTCTGTCTCGGGATGTCTTCGGGGGTCGCTCTTCGCTCCCCCCCAATCCCGCAAAAATGACGGCCGCGACGCCCCCTCGCGAACCGAAGACGGCCAATTCCTGAATCGACGTGTCCGGGCAGGAAGTCTATCCACCTCCGAGTGCTACGCGCTGGCGCTCCCGCGCCACCCCTCTCCAGAGCGGAACGGCTGGCATGTTCTGCCTTGGGGTGTCTTCGGGGGTCGCTCTTCGCTCCCCCCTGGCCCGTCGTTTCCCGAGGATGCGGCCCGGGGCTCGAGGCCACGCGCACGCACGCGCACAAGAATGAAGGGGCCCTGGGACACACAAATCCGCCGACCCTGTCGGCGTGTGTGAGGGGCTTCTCCGTTCGACTCGTCGTCTCCGTCGTCTCCGCTCTCCCCCTTCCAGGGCTCTCCTCTTCAAGCGCGCTATCCAAAGCGAAATTAAACGACGTCGTAGTGGAGTCGACGGGAAGCCCCTTCCCTTTGATCCCTTCCCCGCAGGGGGGGGGGGGGGCGGGGCAGATACGACGCCCGCCGGGGCGCATTTTCCTCGAGCGGGCACGCACGGGATGCACTCCTCCTCCTCCTCCTCCTCCTCCTCCTCCTCCTCCTCCTCCTGGTCCTCCTCCAACCTCCCTCCTCCTCCTCCTCCTCCTCCTCCCTCCTCCTTCCTCCTCCTCCTCCTCCTCCTCCTCCTCCTCCTGCTCCTCCTCCTCCTCCTCCTCCTCCTCCTCCTCCTCCTCCTCCTCCTCCTCCTCCTCCTCCTCCTCCTCCTCCTCCTCCTCCTCCTCCTCCTCCTCCTCCTCCTCCTCCTCCCGCAGAGGCGTCCCGGGAGCGGGCCCCGAGTCAAAATACCACCCCCCTAGGGCGCATTTTCCTCGAGCGGGCACGCCCGAGATGCACTTCTTCCTCTTCCGGGAGCACGTCCCAAGTCAGAATATCACACTCCCGGGGCGCACTTTCTTCGAGCGGGCACACAAAGGATGCACTTCCTCCTTCTCCTCCTCCTCCTCCTCCTCCTCTCTCCTCCTCCTCCTCCTTCTCGTCCTCCTCCTCCTCATCCTCCTCCTCCTGCTCCTCCTCCTCCTTCTCCTCCTCCTCCTCCTCCTCCTCCGCTTCCTCCCCCCACTCCTAGCCCGTTCGATCAGGGTCGGCGGCACCGGCCGTCAGGCCTCTCCAATACCCCTTGTAAACACTTGGGGATGCGCGCTCCCGAAGCCTCGAACGCTCGTCCATTAATTACATGTGGAAGCACGCTCCCGAGGCCACCACCCCTCATGAATTGTTGCGGACGCGGGCAACCAGCCGGTCAGCAAACAGCCCACATCAGCTGACAACAGGCCACATCAGCTGACTTGCCAGCCAGCCAGCCGGCGAGGAAGCCAACCAGCATACCAGACCAGCGTGGCCGCGCAAGCAATCTGATCCGGGGGGGCGGCGGCGGAGGACGGAGCCCTCCGGATAATTCTTCTTCGGCTGCAGGAAGCTCGAGAAGAACTCCTGGGGCGCCCTCCGCGGCGACATGACCACCGCGTTGCCGAAGAAGGACGTGCGGAGCCGCTCCGCCCAGTCCGCGTTGCTCCCAATGTTGAGCACGGCGCGGTACTGGCACAACTGCTGCGGGTACGCCAGAAACGAGTCATTAGAAGGCTTGAGGCCGACGTCGAAATCTTCCACGTTGCTGACAACAGCGTCCAACATATCCGGGTACTCCTGTCCCATCTGGTGGGCGAACAATCTACCATTATCCAAATAGTCGCATGCAGCCTGGCATGTGGACCCACAACAGGTGCCGTACTTCGAGCGCTTATAATGAGCCCTTCCACGGAAGGCGGCTTTGTTAATGGAGGCCGCCGTTTGATTGCACGTGTAATGCGCCTGCACAAAATCATCCCACCCCACAACAGGGCTGTTCATGTACGCCTTTGCTCGGTTGAGAGTGCGGGTGCACCCCATGGCAAATGGGACAGTGATAGGAGAGAACGCCGAATGGTACATGATTCCGACGACCGGCTGGTTCTGGTTATCCTCGCGGACGTTTTGAACTCCATCGTGCAGACCAAAAGGGATGTGAACATCGATAGAGTCATCCAATCCAGGCACGATCTTATCGAGGATAAGGCGCAACTCAGATCCCCGAGTGGTATCACTCGAAAGGTTTCCACAGACCTCCCTCCAAGTCCTCTGTTTGATGTGCACAACACTGTTGATATATGGTCTCGACTCGTTCGGGCTGTTTTTCTTCTCCGTGCACGCGGGGATCCTGTCATATTCCACATCTGGCAGGTGGCTCTCGACGACATTGAAATAGGCGTCGACCCTGTCGAAGACTTCCTGGTAGCGGGGCCTCAAGTCCAGCGGGACCCACCCGGGTACCACCTTTTTAGGCGTGCCAGGATCCTGGTGACCCCCACGTGTCAGGTCCTGATCGATCAGGGTCAAATCGGGAGGACTGAGATCATGATAATCTCGAGAACGCAATTGCTGCACCGCGTCGGAATAGCCCGCGACAGATAAAACGCCGAATACTCTCGATGGAAGCGACCGCATTAACACTGCAGGAGTCGAATACTGGACACCATGGACTTCGATGGGCGGTTCTTGCTCTCCATGCTGATCGAGAGCAGATCTTGAGCCATGAAAATCAAGTACGGTCCTGAATAACGGCGCTGACCAACTAGTGGCAATAACAACTGCGACATTCGGATCGGGGTACTACATCGGCGACAATGCCTTGAGGCTCCGAATCCGCATTGATGTAGAACGTGAGACCCAGCGTGCTTGCGATGTTCGGTTACCGATGAAAGGCGGTTTGGGTGCTCAGGCACGTGATTGACGCTGGCGAATAGGAGCACACAAGGACTGTTCAGTGTTCAACAAACTCAACTCAGAAGCCTGAAGATCGAACGGCGAGTTACTGATGCACCGGCGAATGCTGACAGCGATAGTGTTGGCATGCTTGAGTCGTACCTGCCCACTTCCCAACACATCAACGTCGGCCGGAAGAAGCAGGTAAGAACATGAAGTAGGAAGGCGGATTAAGTTGATTGGGTCCAGCCCCCCCCAGATAGTAACAAAACATAGCAAAAGTGTGCCGATTCTTGAAGTAGGAAGGCGCTTGAAGTAGATTGGGATCTGGGAATCCAAAAATACCTACGTTCAACGACAGGCATGTACTCACGCAACACAGAGCCGATCCCGCCCGGGCGAACAGCGTGTGGCCAGGGACCTCTGCAGCCCCGGGTGCCGCGTCGCGAGCTCGCAAGACAGGGGAGGAGCAAGTGAGTGAGGGGGGCAAGCAGGGGAATATCGATTTGCATGCGAAAGGCAAGCTTCATGTCGATCGGGCCCACGGCACCAACATCTAGAGCCCGATCCCTCATCACGCAAACAAGCGTTCCACGCAATGGGGCCATGATGCTCTGGAGGAGGGTGGGGAAAACGAGGAAGACGAGAAGCCATTGAGGAGGGAAGGAATACCTGGTGTGGCGAGGAGTCCTGCCTACCGAAACGTCGGGATAAGAAGCTGGGGCGCTGTCGTGAGGGAGACGGATCGGATGGAGGCGAATGAGCGTCGCTGACTTGACTTGGAATGGTGGCACTGCTACCTGGGCCGACAAAATCACTCTCGTTGAACCAAGAACTGCTGAAACATATACATGTATATCGGAAAATTGGGGGACGTGAACGGAAGTGACCCCAACCGGGGAATCGGTTTCGGTTTCGGTTCTTGTCGTGCGTGCGGGCGGGGCAAAACTGCGCAAGTTCCTGCAGTTGTAGAGGCCACATGGAGCCCCAAACACCGCCCCCCCGGCATGGCGCGGCACCGGATGGTTATCCCGCGGGTTGTATCCCGATGGTTGTCCAGATGGGTTTTTCGCTGGTTGTTCCGATGGTTGTCCCGATGGGTGTCCCGATGGTTGTCCCGATGGTTGCCCCTATGGGTGTCCCGATGGGTGCCTCGATGGGTGTCCCGATGGTTGTCCCTATGGGTGTCCCGATAATTGTCCCGATGGGTGTCCCGATGGTTGTCCCGATGGTTGCCCCGATGGTTGCCCCGATGGTTGTCCCGATGGTTGCCCCGATGGGTGTCCCTATGGGTGTCCCGATAATTGTCCGTACGGTTGTCCCGACGGTTGTCCCGATGGTTGTCCCGATGGTTGTCCCGATGGTTGCCCCGATGGGTGTCCCTATGGTTGTCCCTATAATTGCCCCGATAGTTGTCCGGATGGTTGTCCCGACGGTTGTCCCAATGGTTGTCCCAATGGTTGTCCCGATGGTTGTCTCACTGGTTGTCCCGATGGGTGTCCCGATGGTTGTCCGGATGGGTTCTCCGACTGGCGCCCCGATGGTTTTGTTCCAATGGTACTGTTCCGATGGTTGTTCCGATGGTTGCCCCGATGCTGTAGCCCCCATGGTTGTCCCGATCCCGACTGGTGCCCCGATGGTTGTCCCGATGGTGTTGTTCCGATGGTACTGTCCCGATGGTTGTCCCGATGGTGTTGCCCCGATGGTTCTGACGATGGTTTTCCCCATGGTTTTCCCGATGTTTGTCCCGATGTTTGACCTGATGCCTGTCCCGATGGTTGTCCCGATGGTTGTCCACATGATTGTCCCGATGGTTGTCCCGATGGTTGTCTCCATGGTTGTCGCGATGGTTGCCCCGATGGGTTCCCCGACTGGTGCCCCGATGGGCGTCCCGATGATGGTGCTCCGATGGTGTTGCCCCGATGCTTGTCCCGATCCCGACGGGTGCCCCGATTAGTGTCCCGATGGTGTTGTTCCGATGTTGCTGTCCCGATGGTTGTCCCGATGGGTGTCCCGATGGGTGTCCCGATGGGTGTCCCGATAATTGTCCCAATATGGTTGTCCCGATGGTGTTTCGATGGTTGTCCGGACGGTTGTCCAGATCGTTGTCCCGATGGGTGTCCCGATGGTTGTCCCGATGGTTATACCTTTGGTTGTCCCGATGTTCGTCCAGATGGTTGTCCCGATGGTTGTTCCGATGGTACTGTCCCGATGGTACTGTCCCGATGGTTGCACCGATGGTTCTCCCGATGGTTGTCTCGATTGGTTGCCACGCTGGTTGTCCCGATGGTTGTCCCGATGGCTGTCCCGATGGTTGTCCCGATGGTTGCCCCGAATGTTGTCCCGATGGTTTTCCCGATGGTTGGCCCCATGGTTGTCCCGATGGTTGTCCCGATGGTTGTCTGAATGGTTGTCCCGATGGTTGCCCCGATGGGTTCCCCGACTGGTGGCCAAATGGGTGTCCCGATGGTGGTGCTCCGATGGTGTTGCCCCGATGGTTGTCCCGACCCCGACGGGTGTGCCGATGAGTGTCCCGATGGTGTTGTTCCGATGGTGCTGTCCCAATGGTTGTCCCAGTGGTTGCCCCGATGGTTGTCCCGACGGGTGCCCCGATGAGTGTCCCGATGGTTGTTCCGATGGTACTGTCCCGATGGTTGCACCGATGGTTGCCCCGATGGTTCTCCCGAAGGTTGTCTCGATTGGTTGTCCCGATGGTTGTCCCGATGGTTGCCCCGAAGGTTGTCCCGATGGTTGTCCCGATGGTTGTTCCGATGGTTGTCCCGATGGTTGTCCCGATGGTTGTCCCGATGGTTGTCCCGATGGTTGTCCTGATGGTTGTCTCGATGGTTGTCCCGATGGTTGCCGCGATGGGTTTTCTGATTGGTGCCCCGATGGGTGTCCCGATGGTGGTGCTCCGATGGTGTTGCCGCGATGGTTGTTCCGATCCCGACGGGTGCCCCCATGAGTGTCCCGATGGTGTTGTTCCGATGGTACTGTCCCGATGGTTGTCCCGATGGCTGTTTCGATGATTGTTCCGATGGTGTTGCCCCGATGGTTGTCCCGATGGTTGCCCCGATGGTTCTCCCGATGGTTGACCCGATATGGTTGCCCCGATGGTTGTCTCGATTGGTTGTCCCGATGGTTGCCCCGATGGGTGTCCCTATGGGTGTCCCGATGGTTGTCCGTACGGTTGTCCCGATGGTTGTCCCGATGGTTGCCCCGATGGGTGTCCCTATGGTTAGCCCGATAATTGTCCCGATGGTTGCCCCGATGGTTGTCCCGATGGTTGACCCGATATGGTTGCCCCGATGGTTGCCCCGATGGTTGTCCCGATGGTTGCCCCGATGGGTGTCCCTATGGGTGTCCCGATAATTGTCCGTACGGCTGCCCCGATGGTTGTCCCGACGGTTGTCCCGATGGTTGTCCCGATGGTTGTCCCGATGGTTGCCCCGATGGGTGTCCCTATGGTTGTCCCGATAATTGCCGCGATAGTTGTCCGGATGGTTGTCCCGACGGTTGTCCCAATGGTTGTCCCAATGGTTGTCCCGATGGTTGTCTCACTGGTTGTCCCGATGGGTGTCCCGATGGTTGTCCGGATGGGTTCTCCGACTGGCGCCCCGATGGTTTTGTTCCAATGGTACTGTTCCGATGGTTGTTCCGATGGTTGCCCCGATGCTGTAGCCCCGATGGTTGTCCCGATCCCGACTGGTGCCCCGATGGTTGTCCCGATGGTGTTGTTCCGATGGTACTGTCCCGATGGTTGTCCCGATGGTGTTGCCCCGATGGTTCTCCGGATGGTTTTCCCCATGGTTTTCCCGATGTTTGTCCCGATGTTTGACCTGATGCCTGCCCCGATGGTTGTCCCGATGGTTGTCCAGATGATTGTCCCGATGGTTGTCCCGATGGTTGTCTCCATGGTTGTCGCGATGGTTGCCCCGATGGGTTCCCCGACTGGTGCCCCGATGGGCGTCCCGATGATGGTGCTCCGATGGTGTTGCCCCGATGCTTGTCCCGATCCCGATGGTTGCCCCGATGGGTGTCCTGATGGTGTTGTTCCGATGGTTGTCCCGATGGTTGCCCCGATAGTTGTCCCGATGGTTGTTTCTATGATTGTTCCGATGGTGTTGCACCAATGGTTTCCCCGATGGTTGTCCCGATAATTGTCCCGATGTGGTTGTCCCGATATAGTTGTCCAGACGGTTGTCCCGATGGTTGCCCTGATGGTTGTCCCGATGCGTGCCCCGACTGGTGCCCCGATTGTGTTGTTCCAATGGTACTGTCCCGATGGTTGTCCCGATGGTTGTCCCCATGGGTTCTCAAACGGTGTTGGCCCGATGATTGTCCCGATCACGACGGTTGCCCCGATGATAGTCCAGATGGTTGTTCCGATGGTAATGTCCCGATGGTGGTGCTCCGGTGTTGTTGCCCCGATGGTTCTCCGGATGGTTGTCCCGAGGAGTCCCGATGGTTGCCCCGATGGTTGTCCCGATGGTTGCCCCGATGGGTTCCCCGACTGGTGCCCCGATGGGTGTCCCGATGGTGGTGCTCCGATGGTGTTGCCCCGATCCCGATGGTTGCCCCGATGAGTGTCGCGATGGTGTTGTCCCGATGGTTGCCCCGATAGTTGTCCCGATGGTTGTTTCGATGGTTGTTCCGATGGTGTTGCCCCGATGGTTCTCCCAATGGTTGTCCCGGTGGTTGTCCCGATGGTTGTCCCGATATGGTTGTCCCGATGGTTGCCCGGATGGGTGTCCCTTTTGTTGTCCCGATAGTTGTCCCGATGGTTGTCCCGATGGTTGTCCAGATGGTTGTCCGGATGGTTGTCCCGATGGTTGTCCCGATGGTTGCCCCGATGGTTGCCCCGATGGGTTCCTCGACTTGTGCCCCGATGGGTGTCCAATGGTGGTGCTCCGATGGTGTTGCCTCGATGGTTGTCCCGATACCGATGGTTGCCCAGATGAGTGTCCCGATGGTGTTGTTCCGATGGTACTGTCCCGATGGTTGTCCCGATGTTTTTTTCGATGGTTGTTTCGATGGCGTTGCCCCGATGGTTGTCCCGATGGCTGTTTCGATGGTTGTGCCGATGGTATTGTTCCGATGGTTCTCCCGATAGTTGTCCCGATGGTCGTCCCGATAATTGTCCCGATATGGTTGCCCCGATAATTGCCCCCATGATTGCCCCGATAATTACCCGGATGGGTGTCCCTTTTGTTGTCCCGATAGTTGTCCCGATGGTTGTCCCGATGGTTGTCCAGATGGTTGTCCCGATGGTTGTCCCGATGGTTGTCCCGATGGTTGTGCCGATAGTTGTCCCGATGGGTGTCCCGATGGTTGTCCCGATGGGTGCCCCGACTTGCTGTCCCGATGGGTTTTCAAGCACGGGCAAGCGCAAACTTCCGCGCGAGCGAGCTCGCAGCCAAAGACCGAGGCATAAGCCCGGGCTCTGGGCCAGGCCCGTGGGCCGCTG